GGACAAAATGGCAACCCTATTGAATTTTAATGAATGTTTCTTATATCCTATAAATATTAAACATTTAGTTACTTATGATTCATTATCATAGCAGAGAAAATCTTGAAAATAGTAAATAATGTGAAGTATAACCCTCTACCTGAGACTATCAAAAAGTTATTACATTGGGATTTCAACTGTTTTGAGAACAGGTATAAACCATCTTTTTTTAAATATTCTATGAGGAAACATATCTAGTAAACACCTCGTAACATTGTATACCATTTTGATCTTTTTGTCACTTTAAATTTACTTTTTTGTAAAACTGTGCCAAAAAATGTATGTGTACTCTCACATAGTCTGTCACTTAGTGAAACTTTTTTTATTCTTAAAGGGCTAACAATTTGTGGATACAATTTCCAAAAATCTTGTGGATCACTTGAATCTATTGCACTCTCTTGACCAAACTCATTATTTATTGTACAGAAGATCCATTGAAACGCTGAGCCAAGGAGAAGCTCGGGCATACCTCTTTTATAATTTTGCAGTGGATTGAGCAGTGCACCATAAGTGTTTAATAGAGTGGTGTAGTAGATAGCTTCTATTTACTCCTTTATGTGACATTGAGTGAGGGATTGAGAAGGAGTGTATAGGAATGTAGGGTGAAACTATGAATTTAACAAAATTGTACTGTGGACAGGTTGTTGAGTGAAGAATGTCAAATGCATAAACAATTGATGAAAAAGCACAGAACAAAGAAAGAATGACGCCTGGAAAAGAATCCAGCAGGTGGCAGTAGCTGGAGAAGGACACTGGAACAATAAAGAAGAGCACTTGAAACTAGGACGTGAAGACGGAAGTACATGATGGCAGTAGAGAAGCCCACTCCACTGAAGATTAAGAAGATCAAGCCTACTGTTATCAGATTTTAATAGATTCATTGGTTTTAAAAATAAATCATTTTGTTATACAGGAGTGGATGGTCCTTTTATTTAGTTATCCTATATGCCTCACAATTGAAGAACAACAAACCAGGTGATTCAATTCATTTAAAGTGTATTTGCTCAGTCCAACATTTCATATATATATTCTTATTATTTTTTGCCACTCAGTATCATAAAAGCATTAGGTTCCCGAATTTCTAACAGCAGAAAACACACTCAAAAAGTTTATATCCAGTTTTGTTTTAAAAAATTAAAATGCACGAGTATAAATAACCAAGACCCTTGACAAAACGGAAAGTTATTTATAGTAGTGTAACTTTTGGTAAATACAGATGGCTTTGACATTGTTGTAAGATCTGAACCTGTCCTCTAAGAGAAGCGGCTCTTGCCCTTGAAGAAGAAGCAAGAAAATTCAGCTTAGTTATCATTGAAGATAAGATGAAGCATTTGAGAATAGGAAGAACATGGGGGAGAGACTAATTTGTTAGAAGTTGGTTCTGGACAAAGATCAATCTATGTAAAACGGTGTACACATGAGTCAGAAATATAGGCCTTCACCGGAGCCAATGAGACAACTCTGCTGGTATTTGTAAGAATAATACTGAAGAAAAATTTAAGACCAATTCTAGAGGAAAGCACCTGAAGAATACAGAGCTTCCAGGGCAGTATAATAACATTGATGTGGTCAAGTTTATTAAGCTTGGAAGACTGCCATGGACAGCCCACGTGGTGAGGATGAAGAATGACCATAAAAAAGAAGACTTTGACAGATGAGCTTCATGGTAAAAAATGGTTGGCCTAATGTAAGTTGGCCAGACTTTGTCGCTTCAAACGTGTTGGTTCTTCTAGGTACCTGAAGCTGGAGAGGTGCTGCAACAGACCGAACCAACTGGCAGAGGCTTTTTCTGAGCCAGACTCAGTGATGGGTTGAAGCACCCACTATGATGATGATATGAAAAATACCAATATTTATACTTGTTATTTAGTTATGAAATGCTATATTCTTTCAGTTTTAGATGTTTCACGTTAGTTCTTATGAACAACGTGATTTGATTAAAAATTTTCTTTTCCATGATGCATTAAACTAAATTCAAAACAACATTGCACAATTCAATGTAACTTAAAGCATTAATTATTGTTTATTTATAATTTTTAAAAATAATCAGTAATAGTTTTTCTTTTTTACTAAAAACTTTCTCACATAATGTACAATTAAAAGAAGTTCTCATAAAAACTTTACTTTAAAATTCAAAGATTTAAAGTTTTATTTAACCAAATAAAAATAATTGCAAAAAAAAAACATAACAATTTTTTTCAGTCATTGATTACAAATAATTCAGAGATTTTTCAAAATTATATATCTAATATATTTAATTTCCTCAAAGGTATTAGTTTTGTTTATAATAAGTAAAGCAACATTAAGTATATTTTAAAGTTAAAAAAAAAAATAAAATACTGAAATAATAAAACGAGATTAAAGCAAACTTTCGATTATTTATAATAAATTTCTGTTTCAATAATAGTATCATTGTATGCAAAAGGTAAAGCATGCTTAAGTAAAGAAGTCAATACGAAAAGGCTTTAAATGATTTTTAATTTTCTGTATAATCATAGAGCTTAGACGATATGTAACTAAAAATAAATATAAAATAGTATTCCTCCAAAAAAATAATCAAATTTGTCAGTATTTAGGAATGAAAGCTGTTTTAAAAGATTGAAATTGTTTATGGAACGAACATTGGATGAGATTATCTTGTTAACTTAATGATATACCTTTTAAATAGCATATCTATTTTGTATGGTTTCAGTTAATAAAAACAATGTTACAATATATGTACATATATAACGTGATTATTCTCACAAACTATTATTGTAGATTTCAGATTGAGGAGCCTTTTTATCAGATCCCATAACAAAAAGTTGTAGGCTTTATTAACTATGATACACACAATATTTTAATATGTTTAACTTTCCTTGGAAAAGTGATTTATTATTATTAACTAATTGCAGAGTGAGCATTTTCATACATTAATTTTTATATATATTACATTATTATACTTTTATAAGTGTTTATATAAGTTTATATAATTTCACCCGTCTCAACCATAATAATGTATATTACTTAATGATATTGTAATCAATAATAATAATAATAACAATAATAATTTATGATTATAAAACATACAACATGAGTAACAATTTTTGATACTAGTGATCATAACTGGATTATGTGGTATAAGATAATAGCACAATTAGTTATGTCACAGATATTAGTTTGACAAAATCATTATTTTTAGAAAAAAAAAATATATAAACAGAATTCAAGAGGTAAAACAATTTTTGACATACATTCATAATTGAAAGTCTGTTTGTAAAACATGAATTAATTTAAACAAATGCACTGACATAAATAATTACAGACTATTATGTATTTCTTTTATCATCTTTAACGATGAGCTCTCATAAAGCAATAACGACAAAAGTTAATGCCACAAGCAAATAAAAAAGATAATTATACACTATTAACAAATATTCCTATACACGCTTTGAGCCAAACGTTTGCACGGAAGATCTTGATCTTATGTCTAGTATTAAATTGCATTACTTATGCTTCTGTTTCATTTTTATAGGTAAGATTGCATGGAAACTTGAGTGTGTGTGAGTGTATTTTTGTTCTTCCGTTTATTTTTTTTTTAAATATATATATTTTTCTATTATACTTAAAATACTACTATAGTACATAACTGATAAATCTTTTTCCCCTTCCCCCCATCTACTACTTCCATTGGAAGTTTTAACACCAATAAATTGGTTATTATATGTATATTTACTTTTATAAATATATATGTATGATTTAACACATTTGATCTACCAGTCGTTTCACGTCTAGATCAAATGTGTTGAAACATTATAGTTTATATATAAGTATGTAATAGTATTTACCAGAATAACACAATTATAAAATTTATGTAACTCCGGATATTCAGCCCCTTTTTGTATACAATACACTTAGGAACAACTGAATGAATATGATCTAAAATACACACATTTGGTAACATATCTGTTAAAGGATAAAGGGCATGGCTACATACTAAATATTAATTAATTATTACTAATACAATAGTTATAAATAATATATAATAAATATAACAAATTGTATGTTTAAACCGAACTACGTGGAAAATATATAAATGGTTGTGAAGTTGCATGTTAAAATAATAATAATAAATATTTAAAAAACAAAAATAATACAATTCAAATGAATTCATAACCGTGTATGTCCATATTCTTTGAATATTCACAGTTTGCATGTTATTTGACGGTTTGGCCAGTTAATTTAAATAATTTCCTTTTTCTTTTTTACAATGTTATAAAAATATATTTTGAATTACAAATTAAAAACGTTCTTCATTTGTTTTTCATATTGAAGAAATTTTATTTTCAAGCCACACTAAATAAATCATTTATTATTAGCATAAGTAACCAGTTGAAACAGCTTTATTACAACTGAATTGATTTATATTAATATATTAGTTAAGGTGCTATTGACAACTTTATAGAACTGAACTCAAAAAATTTGATTCAGAACAATTATTTTTATTTTTTTTTTTTACCATTTTTAATAAGTATAATAAGAAAATAAAAAAATATTTTGCAGGTAATGGTTGAACTGTAATAGCTAATGGGTGTCAGATTATTTGCTGAATAATGAATAGGTGTTAAAGAAATTTTTTTCAATAATCAACGGGATTATAATATTATATCAATTACTTTATATAATATTTCCAATATTTATTTACATTAGAATAATTCACAATATTCAATAATGCTACAAAAGATTGTTCATAATAAAAATGGCTGCAAATGTATGCATGTCGTTGTCATAACTTAGGCTTTTTCAACTCAAACGAGTCTTTGCAAATATAATAAAAACTATAAAAAACATTATAGCCATGGAATAATATTATACTAGGTTTAAAAAAAATATGAACTTAATAATACAATTAAACATTATAAAAAAGGGGTGTAATTCATGTTTCAAGTATTTTTTAGGCATTGGAACTAATAATGAAAAATAAATTACTGAATAAGAAAGATAAGTGATATTTTAAGTAAGTGTTACTTTCGGGTGGTGTTTTATATAATATATATTTAATGTTTTTTTATTTTTTTTTTACACAATTTTTTTCTTTTATTATAAGGAAGTGTTGGCAAAGAGGAACATTATAATGTGGGTAAATGATCTTTTCATATGAAAACAAATACGGAATTTGTATAAAATTAAATTAAATTTCCTTGAAACATCTAAACAAACAAGTATTTATTATCAAGTATAATTTCTAATTAAGTTAGCTATATATATTGTGATAGCATATTATACACTGTATGATATTATATTATTATATCCCTGCAATATATACCTAATTAAAAACAATATGCATTTTTGTGCATTAAGAGCTTATTTAATAACATTTTCCAGTGATAAATTAGACTATTCTTTTGGATTGGTTAAATTATTAAAATCTGAAAAATTGATCTAATAATTTACTCCAACCAAACGACAATGATCATAACCCACCAATTCCTCAAACATATTGGCACATATTTTAATTTAAATTACATAATACTGGATATTTTCTTGTTATTTGGGAGTGAAAATTCTGTGCAATATTGTGCACAGACAGATATAAAAACAAATACACATTCTAATTCCATTATCTATAAAAATGTGTTCAAATTCTTATATCTATTATATATGAACAAAAAATAAATTTATATACATATTTGCATCTGTGCTTAAAGAACAGCTTCAACTTATAACAAAATATACAAACTTAAAAATACATCATGGGAGGAACATATGCTCTAATTTTTACACAACCCCAATGAAATGTTTCTTGATATATTTTTAAAAATTTTAATTAGCGGCGTTTTGTTTGCTTATAAAATATAATTATTCTTTATTAAGTACAAGGTAGTTATAAAATCATGAAACATTTCATCTCTTGTCGTGATTGATTTTTTTTAATCGACTTTATTTTAAGATAACATTGGTTTTTAGAAATCTGCCTTTATATACTTCCATTTATGTCTCTACTTAAACATATTTTTCATGACTTATACCATTATTTTATATAAGTTCGCACATTTTTTTTTTCAAATTTTTTATTTTTTTAAATGTACAGGTAATGTCCATTATTTTATTTTATATTAAGAAAGGATATACAAAAACAGTAGTTTACTGTCAGTATATATGAGCAAGAACTGCACAGCACGTATTCACAAAGCCTCACCTGACAAATTCGTTGAAGTTGAGAGTCCCTTCCAATGGAGGGTCTCTACAAAATTTTCAAATGGCCAACTCTCTCACCTATTTATACATACGCTCTAGTGTGCATACTAATTATAATTCGATCAACGGTAATTATATAAAATGAGTTAACTCATATTCCTATTTATATATTTATAATTATATATATTATATATATTTATTTATTTATATATGTATTATACCATTTTCTTTACCCCAGAGTATAAAAATTAATAGGTGTTCATGAACAAGGTACGCCAGACCTACTACACCAAAAAACACTCCATTCCGTGGCAAATCTAATTGATAAATCATAAGAAAAATATCTATAATATTAATATTCGGTTCTCAGAGAATGATTCAGGAAGCCCTATTTCTATACTATTGACAAAGTTTGCTAATCAATTATTACTTTCTAATTTTAGTATTAAAGCATTAGTTAATTTTCTTTAGTGCATCTCTTTCAAATAAAGCAGGTAACTGTTTTGGTGTAAGGTAGAAGGTCAGGATGCTTTGTAAAGGTACGTTCTAGTTTATTTTTAGAAAGCGCGGATATTATATTAAATTGAAAAAAAAAAAAACTGAAATCAGGTAGATAGTGATTAGAATGGAGATGAGAACCGAAGACAATAGTACCGAGGGCATAAGTAAAAGTAGGTTTTTGTTGTTGAAGATATGATGGATAGTTGCATAGATTTTCGTAAAATGAAGTTCAGTTACCTTATTGAACAATGAAATGAACTTCATTCATTGTTCTTGTATCCTTTTAGATTTATACTTCTTGTTATTTTTTTCATTATTCAAATAAGGTCAAGGCATTCATGGAAGACTTCATATTTGAAAATTTTGATCTACCAGACTAAATTAGATACCAAATGGTATATAATCTTACTGTCTTGATTGTTGTTGGCTTCTATATAAAGGAAACAAATCAAGTAGGATAAATTCATAAAGATCAATAAGGCATTAATAAAAGATTATGATTAATAACTTATTTATTTTTTTATTCCTTCCATTCCCTTAGGAACAGTCAAATATTTAGGATTATAGTAGTTTTTATTTTATAATTCTACCTCATTTTCTCTTATTTAAGAAAAATAGATTGTAATCATTGTTAAAAATTTTGTTCTGGCAGTTCCATATTTAAATTATTTACCCTCTAAGTAAAAGTATGTTCATTTTGATAATAAGAAATAAAATAAAATTAGTAAAGTATAATGTGCTCTGTTGTTTCTTATTCCACCAGTTTACAAAATAAAACAAATTCATAACTAATTCAATCTTCTTGAATTAAAATTAAAATCCATGTAGTATATTTATTTTTGAACTATATGGCAGAATGTTTTTTTAATTATTGAAATTACTAAAGGCGTACCTTGGTTAATAAAAATTAAAACCACTGGTTGTTTAATTCAATAAAAAAGTATCAAAATTTCACTTCCCTCTATTTGGTGTATAGATGATACAAATTTGTTTACAACACAAAATTTTTTTTTTGAAATAAAGAAGGCATCTTTAGTATATATCAGTCAGTATCACCTATTTGAGGAAAAACAACCCTATATTTATTGGTATTGTTGATGATTAACAGCACCCCTACTTTTTAAGACCAGCCTCCAATGCAGTGACAAGTCTGCCAGTATTGTAAACTAGCTGTAGTTGAGATGAATTTCCTTGTAAACATCAATGTGGTACTGATGCTAACTGAGGAATCAGCTGGACCCACTGTGGCAGGGAAGTTAGCCAAGGAGTGAAGGACGAAGAAGCCGCTGCGGCTGAATTATACACTGTCAACACTGGCAAATCTTTGGCCAAGCTCATCACAGACATGGGCGGAGGATGGTGGTGGGGGCCTTGGTCGATGAAGTGGCCTCGGTCTTGGTCGTGGTCTTAGGCGCCGACACCAAAGGCAAATCCCAGCTAATACCAAAGCACCACCTGCAGCACCGCCCACAGCAGATGGCCAGAACCATTCCATTGCCACTTCTACAATGCCTATCAAAAGGGATTAAAAATAAGTTAAAATAAAAATGGTAAATTTTTTTATATTTAATGGATTAAAATTAACAACAATTAATTTAGTCAAGACTTTGTTAGTTTTTTTTATTTTATAAATTAATATAAATATTCCATTACAAAATTATTTAGTATTTTTAAATGAAAAACATTTAATTCTGAAGGACTTTGATTTTGGCTTCTGCCTTCAAAGCCTATTTGTTTTTACTATTTTCTATATTATTATATTAAAAGACAATTTTTGAGTCATTATTCAGTAATTGAGGGTGCTTTAATCAAAACTTTCTTTTGAGGTCCATGTCACTCTTGAATTAGATTTTGCAAATACATATGTACATACAGCTCCAAAGTGGAATGTTTTCAATCTTTTTGTGACAGTTTGTCAAAAAACAAAAGCTTTCTTCAAGTGCAACAGATAAATAATGGTATACTGGCTTTTATTCATTTATTTATCAATTGAAATTTATATATATGATGGTTTGAATTTAGTGATTCTCAGCTACCCAAAATCTAGAAACTACTACCCAAGATTTCTAGAAACTACCCAGATTTCTAGAAAAATAACTAATTTATATGACGCATGCATATTAAAAATAAATGTCTTCTGAAATAAAAAATAAAAAAACTACTAAAAACTACTAAAAAATGAAATATACTATAGATGTCTCTGGACCAGGTAAGTTTCTTGTCCTTCTAATAAGCTGATATTGAACAATAAATGTATCAGTTAGTCAAACGGTATACTTACAGTTTAGTTCATCCGAGTGGTCATCAGCACCACAGTTCGCTACCCTATTGCAGCGTAGCCTCTTGGCAATACAGAAACCTGAAGTTGCACAACGGAATCCATTTTCACATTGTGCATCATCAGCGAATTCTGTCCAGACTGCTTTGAATCCTTCCGCACCCACAGATTTGTCAGCAGATATAAAACTGAAAAGTTTATAAAAATTGTTGTTAATTTTTTTGGGTTAATCATAGATTTTCATCCTTTAAGGAAATGTGTCCCAGAATAAAAATTATGTTTTAGTAAATTAATAATAATTAATTTAATGCTGAGCATAACACAGTTGAAAATAATTTTTTTTTTAAATTCAATACAAATTAATATTTATTCAGGAATAACTAAATATTTCTTATTATTTCTTTTATTACATAATTTTTTTTTTGAATGGCTATTTATCAACAAATATTTTTAAGTAAAAAAACATTTTATGGTTAAAAAGAAATATATAATATTATTTTGAAGATAAATTTGATAATAGAGAAAAATAAATGAACATAATACCTATAATTATTAAATAACTTATTTGATTAATTATTTTTAACTCCTTAGTCTGATCTCAACGAAAAAGACTTTTTAAAACTTTTTTAAAAGATCTTATAAGAGAAACTATGTTATAGCCATTACTTACTCAAATATTGATGTTATGGGAAATATGTTATTCTGTTTAATAATGTTTGTAAGATCAAAAGCAGTTAATGTTAAGTATTAAGTATTATTTATATATATAGCTGTCCTCGGAAGTAATCAAGAGGATATTGAGAGTCTCGTTCGGATTCTGTTAAAAGAAGCAGAGCAAATCGGGTATAGGTAATATATATATATTTGCTATAATTTTACAGATGTAGCAAAATTGTCTCAAAAGATCAAATTTAATCCCAAAAGTACAGATGTTGATTCAATGGAAATCAAACGATTTCATATTTTTATTAATGAAGGTTAAGAGGAAAAACTAAGTGTCACTTTTTTTCAATTTTTAATTGAGTTATTTGTATAAGTGGATAAAATGTGGTCTTTTTAGGAGTAAGACCATAAAAAAAATATAGATATTGTAAATTCAATTTATTTTTTCATATTCCAAATACCTGGTAGAATATAGCTTTTTATTCTGAATACATTTATGTTAATAACTGAACCAAAAAAGTGATTTACCTGTTTTTTGCCATTACCTTAATATATTAATCTATTATTTAAAATTCCTCATGATTTTATAATTCTTATATCTTTATTACATGTTTTTTGTATTTTTTATAGCTTAGCCCTGTGAAGAATTAGGTGCAGCTTAACCCAAAACATTAGCACACGTTGAAGTTGTTTACTATCTTACTTAAAGTTTCTTTCTCAGCTGCACCTCAACCATTTTATACTTGACTACAACTATGCTCAACTGTACATTCATAATAATATCAAATTTACATAATAAAAATGACTTAATAAATTAAGTATTAAAAATAAAACAAACCTGATTCTGACATAGTTAGCTTCAGAAATATATTGCCATTTTTTATTCATCTGTTTTTCACCACATAACTCTAAAGGAGGGCCATCGACTGTGTACCACAATCTTACTACCGCAGCTGGACACCCACGAGCTGTGATAAGGATACATGCTTTAGCAAAATTTTTTTATATTTTTATGTTATATCAAAAGAATGGTAATTTATTTTACTATGATTTTAAAATTAATACTATAGATATTAGTTTATCAATTATGTTAAAGAGATTTGTTAGTTTCGATTGCATATTAAATGTTTGCAAAACTTACTTGTAGGATCCCCTTCAACTGCGAAGTACTCAAAGTTGAGGAGTACCCTGTGATCCGGCTGGACATTAATATACCAGTTACATGTTCTGCTGGCTGCACCTCTGGCTGGTCCCTCGTATTTATGAGGGAAGTTTGGACTTACTATTACACCATAGTCTATACTACTCTCATTACTACCACAGTCTGAAAAGAGAATATTCAGTTCTAAAATATGAGTTATTTTTATTTTATAAATGATATTAAAATTAATGTTCAAGTTCGTCGATGTTTTCTTCTACAGAAATTTATAAATATATGTTTGATTTTTATATTTTTTTTAAGAACTGAAACTTTACACCTTCTTAATTATGAAATATGAGAAATAATTTAAAAAATAAAAATACTTTTGAAATGTCTTAAAAATGATTAATTGACGAGAAATAAGTATACTGTGACATATAAGCTTAAAATTTGTATTGTAAAATAAAACTTCATAAATATAAGAATTAAAATTTCACTCACCACCAAAAATAGATTTGGCCACTTCAAAGGAGTATCTTGCCTTGAAACCTGAATATACTCCTTCAGCATTTGTATGTAGCAAGAGCTTAAGACCTACTGCACCACGGTTCGAATCCAACGGTCCAGGTGCAGTCATAGCACAATATCGCCCTATTAGTTTCTCCGTCCCATCTCGATATAGATTATAAATTTCTAACCAATCCTCTGTGCAGATGGTAGGCCTAGATTTAATAATTTAAAGATGTTAGCCTCTACTGTTAAATTGTTTATTAGGTATTATTACTTTTTGAAATCTTTAAATGTTTAATAACATGTTATTAGAAATATACTGGTGCAAAACTAGACATACCCATATGAGCCGAAGGAGCTGTTTACATTGTCAGCTCGAACCTTAAAGTTATCAAAAACAATTGAAACTTGTTCATTGGCAGTTGCATGAAACTCATATGTGCAATTGGTCGATGAAGGATAATTTGCAGGATAGCGGGGAGAGTTGAATTCTCCCCTCTTCCTACTTGAACTGTTGTACTTAAACGTACAAGAACCATCTGGAGCTGCTGTACCAGGAATCCGATACTCTGTGAAATGAAAACATTTATTTTAAATTCATAAGAATATGTGTATGTCTTCAACAAATGTTTATGCATTTTAGTTGATCAATTTTCAATCTATTCCAACTAATAAAATAGGTAACTTATAAAGAAAAGTATAGAAATAAAACTGATTTTGTATTTAAAAGAGAAGCATAGAAATTTTAAAATTTAAGTTTGAATAAGTCTAACCAGAAAACAAAACTTTTCCAATGATAAAGCTGAAAAATAATTAAAGGATGAAAAATAATAAGGATGTCAAATTATGAGTAATGTATGTCTCTAAACAAAAACAGATTATTCATATATTGAGTCTGCCAATATACTTTAAAAATACTGACATCATAATAAAGAAAGAAAGAAAATTATCCATATATAAAATGAACTTCTGATAATAAATTCCCCCCCCCCCCCAAAATTATTTACAATCACTTGGTGATGTGGTCATGATCAATAAAGGTTTGCTTTAAACATGCAAAATAAACTTGAAGGGTAAGAAAAAATGGTATACCACTGTGTTCTGCAATCTTTTAAGGCAGTAGCGAAAAAGAAAACTTATTGTAAGAAAAAAAGAATAGTAAAATATCAAATTAAAAAAAAGTCTATGACAAATAAATAATGTAAGACTCTTCTTACTAGCGGTAAATGAAGTAAGATCCACATTTAATACTAAGAGTATCGCAATGATCTGCTTGTCAGGAAAATATCTTAATCAAACCGTGATTATGAGATTCATTCATTAAGGTACAGAATCTTAAGGAAGATTAGAAAGGGTGAGGATGAATTTAAAGAGGCTCAGAGCTAAGTTAAAAATAAAAATGTCCCTAATGACTCATTCCTCTATATATGCGAGAAAAGAGGATGCTGGACGAATGGTATCAAGTTATCATCTGTACCATGCATAAGAAAAGGGGTAAGACAAGATGTACCAACGTTAACTGAGACTTTTCCACTTATTTTTTTATGTTTCAACTAGTTGAAAACTAGTTCTGTACAAAAGTTCTTCAAACTGCCATTAAACATTTGTCTTGATCTCTTCTTTTAAAAATCTAAAGGGTGTAAGGAATTGTGCAACATATCATCTTGTTTTTGACCTCAATACAACTTGCGATATTATTGATAGATATAAGGACTGTGAAGCATTTCAGAACCTTTCTGTACTTTTAAAAATATATCTTCTGAAATAACCTTGATATCGGAAAAATTATGAGAGATGGGAAAAAAACTATCAAGAACAACCTCAAAGAAATGGGTCAAAAACATGATTATTAAAAAAAATAATAAAGAAATGTCTATAACGATTAATTACATGTTGTGTTGTCTTGTTTGTCAAAAGTATGATTATTTGAGCAACTTAGAAAGAAACACTAGCGGATTCAGGATTTAGTTTTGGGAGGAGAACTTCAGCCCGAAAGATTTTTTTTTTAACTATATAACGATAATTAATTAAGAAGAAAAATAAGGGAACTAACTATCTATATGAAATAAGGTAGTAAATAAGAAAATAAAAAATACTTTTAGAGGTAATTATTAAATATTTTTGTCATAAGGCATGGTTATATTTTACCATTTTGGGAGAGGGGAGTCAGCCCGAAGTCTCCTCCTTCCCCTCATCAATGGGCTACTTACAATTGGTGCAGAAAACAAAAATTAATTACATATATGATGCCGTTAGTAATAAAATGATTAAATTTATCAGAATTCGATAGGCTGGACATGTTATCAGTATATTCTAAACTGAGGTGTCCAAGAAATTGATTACATAAAAAAATGCAAATGACAAGTTATACAGCCACAAACAAGACGGCAGATAGATTGATAGTAGATCCATAGGTTAATATACTTTAGTATTCTGGCTGTTGCAGAAGATTTGAGAACTCTTATCTTTATGTTTTGATGGTTGACTGTAGTGAATAATTGAAGAGAAGGATGTTTAGTGTGATCAGTCAAAATAAAAATAGCAGAAATAAATAATAATATTTATTTTTACATTTGCTGATGTTTCGGCCCAAAGTTCAGACCTTCATCAGGGCTTCCAAAAGCGTGGAAAGACCATTAGAAAGCATGGAAACTCTTATCATTGAAAATGTATGAATTTGAATGTGTAAAATCAATATCAAATTAATGATTAATATGTTCATGAAGGCTTAAGAATTTGAAAGTGTAAATAAATCCATAGATAATATGTAGAAACAGGAAAAGAATAAATGTTATAAGTAAACTCTTATTAGTTACCAGTTTCAAAGGTGTAATTAGCCTTAAAGCCTCGTCCCTGGAGCTCGCCACTGCTGAAAACCATAACAAGTCTTGGGCCATCTGATACCATCTGGCTTGGCGAGCTCACCTCTCCACATAGTTCATGGTCATATTTCTCATATGAATCTGTTGCTTCCTGACCTTTGAGGTAGATTTTAAGGTAACCATCACTGCAACTAGTACTAAAAGAAAAATGACAAAAATTACTTCAGGAAAAATAACAATATAAATAGCTACGTGTCAGAAAAAAAAAGAAATAATCTTTATCACTACAACTCAGGAAGAGGTTCTTGGGTTTAGTACTTAGACAAAGATTGTGCAAGTAGGTGATTCAAAAGAGATTACACTCAACTGCTAATTTCTCCCAAATTAATTAACTAGTTAATTAAGAGCATCCATGTTATAGTGGTTGGGTGTCCTCCAGGAGGCTCTCTCAAACCTCAGAATCGATCTGTGGCTGATGTAACAGTATAAATAATAACTACTTGCCACAGCTGAACTGAAACCCAGGGCCTGGAGCACAGGAGCATAGTGGCTTGCTCACTGAGCTACCCCACTCCTCTTTGATAAGTTATTACAACTGTAAATAAGGTATCCCATGAAGTGAATTGGTGAAAGGTCAGCCCTGACTCAAGCTTCTTTTTCTTTTTTTGATCAAATAATAGCTTAATAGCAAAAAAAATTACATAATTTTTTTGTAATAGACAAGACAAGAATGCTATTGTTTTATTTTTATCTATTTTTTTAGTGGAATCTAAAAAATCAATCTTCTCCAGGTTCTAAATAGTCTAGCTACTCTGCTGATTCCTCATGGCTTTAAACAATAGGTAATAGTTTGGGCCCCCTCTCATGTGATATACATACCTAAATATAAATATGTGAAAATAAATCAAGGCAGTAGATATTTTATAGGATACATCTAACAGTATTTTAGATTTCAGTTATTAACAACTTATAAAACTTTAATTTAATATTGTTTTACTGGATCCACAGAACCTCTGAACAAGTAACATTGGTGGAGAAGGAGGAAAAATATCCAAAAGTATCCCAAATTGTGGCCACACAAATATTATTACTTCAATTTAAACAAAATATGAATTGTAAATCATACATCCATTGACACTCACATTATCTATGCTGTATTGATTGACTCTTTTGGCTTATTGTTTCAACTTTGTCTCATGTTAATTTACATGAATTATTATTACTTTATTAATATTTGTTTTTTGAAATATTACAATCAATATTCAAAATTCTAAAGTTTTATTATAATGTTTTTCTGCAATCAAGGTGGGTCTGGTCTCTGTTTTAAGAAGCCCCTCTCCATCAATGCTATATTATATCATTTTCAAAATTCTTGCTTTGGTTGACTGTATTTAATAAAAATCAAAATTTATAAATAAAAAATAAAAATTGGTCCCACAAAAGATATTTAATTCTGGATATTTTAAAAGTTATTCTTGGAAATCACTGGTTGGTAGTGTAATATAAAATATACTCAGATTAAATCGGTTACAGAAAATCATAACACATAAAATGATTAATTTTTAGAATATAGACTTTGTTATCTTTTTATTAGAGAAAGACGAATTTTCGAAATAATTAGGTGGGAAAATCATAAAATAGTCATCTGGCAACACTGGAGTAAGTGTAAATTCCACCGCCTTTTCTAAACCGGTATTAACCAACTTTTATAGTTTTATTTGTTCTTGAGTGGAATTGAATTATGACATATTTGGTAAGTTTTAGCAGGCCCTTCCACAAAATATTGTTTTAAAACAATAGTATTTTTGAATCGAATCCCCAAACTCATTTTTCTCATCAAAACTATTTCAGTAAATTTGATAGTAACTACTAGCATTATTTTATATAATAAACATATTATCAAAATCATAATAATTTAAAAATAACTTATGTCCATATAGAAATGAAATGAATGATAATTGAATTTTACAAATATTTGTCGAATTATATATTTAAAAATCATAAAAGTATATAGAAAATATGATTATTATAAGTAAAATTTTTTACTTATAGTAATTTAATTAAAGGCATTAATCTGAATAGAACCTCTGTTGGTTTTTGTTTAAGGGCGTAAAACCATCTGGTCAACCCCTAAATAGAGGCAGTTCAGTTTATTGACTATTTTTTTAAAATATATAAATACTGATTCAATATTTTAATAACCATATCAAACGCTAAAAAGCACAATTATTGTATGACTAATTTTTTGCACATTTCACTTTTTCAGTGTGAAGTAGAGCTTGGAGATGAAATATTGTTGCACAAATACTTTTATGTATTAATATGAAGTAAAAGGTTTTTTTTTCTATAATTGAAAATCTTTGCAAAAACTAGAGCTGATCTTAGAATAACTATAAATTTACAATTAAAAAAAAAATACAAATTTTAAACATTAATAATCAACTTAGTGGTTGAAATTATTAGATTTATCAAATTTCTCAAGCTCCTACTGAAAAAACAAAATAAGGTGATTTTGGACCTACAATGATTGTGCTTTTAGCGATGGGTAAGAAAAATGGAAATTAATACTCACTCATCTTTGTGAGCTTTGGGTATATCAAACTTCTGAAATTCTATCCTGACCCTCTCTAAGTGCTGTGAGTCCTGCATACCATATATAAAGTAACGGCAGACAATCTTTGGTATATATGGGAACGGATAGTTGGGACTGTACACACTGCCGGACGACTTTTTCTTGCTCAGGATCTTCTGATCACATTCACTCCCCCTGATGTGTTCACCATCATTTTTTGAAATGAAGTCTGTAGAATATAAAAGATATTCAAATATAATTTTGTATCAATTTTAAAATTTTCTATTTCAGTAATAAAGTTTTTTTTTTTTCAGTAAGTTCTCCATGTTTTTAGAATTTACACATTTATTGAATATTTTGAGAAAATTCTGATTAATTTATTTACTTAAATAAAATTAGATCTTCTTAAATTTCACAATAGTTAACTAAACTTTAGGATTGAATATTTTTTATAATAAGAATTGATTAATAAAAAATAAAAAGATTCCTTCTTACTAACCCAGCTTGACGAAGCTCTCGCTGAACTCATATATACCCTTGAAACCCCTATTCTGAGAGTTGGCTGTCCTTCGAAGAGTTTCGAACATGACAAACATGTTCTCCTCTGATGAGTACAGGACGAGATTTCTCTGTTGGCCACAGTAGGTGCCGATAGGTGCGGATTCGTTATGCGTTCCATCGTACACCTTGACCACATCAAAAGGGCAGCTGTTGACAGATAAAAGAATTTTTATGATAGTTATTTATTATGCTGTGTGATTAATCAAGTACATCATTGCTTTTAAATAATTTTTTTAAAAACAAACAAAAAGATTGCATGTTGTAATTATATGGGATATTGGTTTTTCTTTTTGAGTTTGTGGTCTAATCTTCACCAGATACATTTAGGTCTTATCTTTTATTATTACAATACTTTGTGTTGATATGTAGGTATATAGTTGTATCTTATGAAATGACCAGTTTGGGAGGGACATGAAACATGAGTGATAATGATAAATGCTGAAGAGATTTAATTTGAAGTGAAAAATATGCCCATTCTTCAATATGATGTTGACAATTTCATTTCAAGATTGACCATGCAAAACTTCTAAGGCTAAAAATTAGAGTTTTTCTGTATCAAATGTATTTATTAGTAATTGCTTTTGTTGTAGATTTGGACTGTTTTTTTTTCTTCTAGTGTATACAATTAGTTCTGAGTATTTTACTGAAGTTTTAAAGGAGTTTATTTCTTTTGAAATTTTGAATTATTTTGAAGATGACAAACTAATTCTTTTAGTCTTTGGACCAAAGTTTTTGTTTTTATTCGTGTCGTACTAATTTTATCACAAAAATTTATACATATTAATATGTTATGCAATATGACCCAGTTGATATGTTTTTTACTTTAATAGATATACATGTATTACTGCTTGTTTTCTTTTTTCTTTTATTTGATTTTTGCTGTACTTTAACAATGCTTGAAATTTTAATGTTGAATAATTGATTAGTTAATTTTGAGTTATGACAGGATTGAACTCCATTAGATGCTAGACTAGCTGATTACATAAAAGTAATCTCAATGGTTTCTTAATATCAGATTATTAGTAGTGTTCAGGATTTTAATGATGCTAATCATTAAACATTAAAAATGCTAACAAACCTTTATTTTTTGTTTTATATTAAAGTTGTAAATGGATTCTAAGCACTCAGTTAATTTTTATCTTGATTTCATATAAATTGTTATTTAGTATGAAAAATAACATAGTATTTTTTATCTTCATTCTAACCTGATATGAAAAATTATAATTTTAAACTGGGTTAGCTGCTACACTGATTAGTAGACTGTTGATTTTTAATTGTTATTTTGCTTAGCTACTAAACTTGACTGTTAGATAGATTTAAAGATTCGATATACTACTAGGTAGATTTAAAGAAACATTTTTCAAATCACAAACATAATGATGCATGTTATTTAATTGCTGTAGTTTAAAAACAATAGTTATTTTAATTTTTCTATTTTCCTTAAAAAAATTACCCATCCTTTATGATAAAGTTATAAAGATCCATTGAATAAACAAATTATGTAGTGTTTAATATCTTGTTATGATATAATTATAAAAACTAGGATTATTAATCAAATGAAACATTGAAAAATGATGAAACCATAAGATAATTTAAAGATAAATGTTAAAAATAAATTTTGAACTCAATAAAATTAGTAATTTAATTTAAATGTTTTAGAAATAAAATGTCTCATTTTATCGCTTAAGTATCAATATAAGTTAAATGCTAGGTTAGGGAACCTACAGAGGCAGTTTTGTCTGTGACCAATCAAATTTTTAGTCAACTTTTCTTTTAATAAAACTTTTTTTCCAAATAAAAAGTTCTATAGAAAAACACGTCACTTCATTATAATAAAATATAAACCCACTCAGGAAAAATATTATATGTTTAGTTTTTATTAATTAATTATGTATTTTCACAAGCATTTTAGCTGGGTCTCACACTATGTTACCTTTTATGTTACAGTCTAATCGTGATGTGTGTGTGTTTGTGTTAACATTGCAAGAAAGAAAGTCAACAGCCGTGTAAGTTTTTAAAATTTATTTTTCATTAATTATGAAAACAGATGTTATTCTACATTGTCTATCATATAATTTGATTTTATGCACAGGAGTCTTAATGTTATGATAAAAATGTACGTGTCTTATTCATTGAATTTATTCACAGCAACTTATCTCTGCTTCTTAGCCTTTCTGTTTTTCATATAATCTTATACTACTCCCATGTTTTATCTAATGCTGAGAAATGTTGGTGAAAATACCATCTTTTGAATAGAAGACAAATATTTATAAGAAATTTAATACTGATTTGACCAGATGATTCCAATTTAATTTAAATATAAAATGCAGTTGTTATCTCTGAAAAATGTGGTAAACCGTATGCGTAGCTTTGATTATTTCTGTGCCCAGGATGTAAAAGACACCATGTCCATTTTTTATTAAATAATTTAGTAATTAATTAACAAATTTTAATAGCTCAAATTTATGGAAAATTGAACCCCAGGAACAAATACAAAAATGGACACGGTGTTTATTACCTCCAGGGTACAGATTTGCATCTGTGAAACACAAATGTTTATCTAAATTTATATATTTCTATAGATTCTAGAGTTACAAAAGAAATTTTTCAAATGCCAGTACTCTGTTCTCCATTTGCAGGCCCTATTAATCCATCTGGTATGTGCTCACAAAAGATCGTGAGAATCCATTTCCCAGTTGCAATTGTTCTGTTAACTGGGTCCGAATGAAGTTCATAAAACACTTTGGAACTCTGTTCATATATGACAGAGTTATCTTTTAATTGAATTTAAAGGTTACTATGGTGCCGCTCTGTGTTTTGTCGCAGAATGCAGTGAATACACTGACATTGAAAATTGTCGTAATATATATATATATATATATATATATATATATATATATATAATATATATATATATATATATATATATATATATATATATATATATATATACATTATTCCAATAGTTTTGAAATTTATATCATAATAGGAATTTGATATATTGAAAAAAAAAAATTAATTTAGCAGGTCTTAACATTTTAATCTTTGAAATGAGTAGAAATGTTAAGATGAAACTCAATATATATATATAGCATTGATAGTTTTCAAATATATCGGAATGTCAATTTTTGGGGACTTACCATAAATATTAAAGTCAATGTTGTCAATTTATTGTAAAAAGTCAATAAGTAACGTACCTCACCTCAAAAAATTCATAACCTGCAAAATATGTATATCTAAAAAATTCAAAACCCCATAAAAATGTAATATTTAATAAGCAGGGATGAAGACAACTCTATTTTAGATAAATTAAGCTTTAACTGCTTATTGCAAAGCATGACTGAGTGGTATGAGCTTAATAATGGAAAAATTTCAAGATTGAATCTTCGCCTGTTATCTGTAGGAAGTAAAACCAATCTCCTCAAATTGAAAATAAGAAAGAAAGCTGTTTATTTAAAATTAACCTTTAGGAATTTTAAATTAAAATTCTGTCATGACTGCTATAAAAAACAAAAAAAAAAAAAGATGAAGAAAAAACTTCTCAATGGAAAAATAACTGATTACAAAGTTTTAAACCAGCTATATTTAACGATTATTAATAGATTTTTGATAAAATGGTAAATATTTTTATCTGTGTATTGATAAATATTTGAGATTATCTGAATGTACAGGTGCTTCAATTAATTATAAAATTACAAAAAGAATAAAATTTAAATTCTTTCTTTCTTTAAATTCATAGCCAAAATCAAAATTAAATGATTTTAATCTTCTGCCACCTCAATTTAAGGAAAATAGAAATTTCAGACTACTTACTGTGGGCCACCAAAGAAGAGGTCAAAGTCCCTGAACTCAAGGCGTACCCTCTGGCCAGGTTTGCCCAGGAAGAGGTAGGAGCAGACCAGGTCCTTGGGGTATGTCCCCGGGTAGGTCGGAGAAAGGATGTTACCTGTACGTCGCACAGAAGCCTGGATCGTGTAAGAGCAGGGTATGTGCGGCGCTGCGGTCCCGATCTGGTACTCAGCTACAATTCAATCAAATTATCAATTATATCAGTCTGAGAACAAAAATTCTACATATTTATTCATCAAAATATTAAAAGAGTCAATGAAAAAAGGGGATCTGACAGATTTTGATTTGGAAGGTTACTTTATTAGGTGATATTATTGTTGATATATAGAATTCTCTTAGCCACAGAAAGAGTTTGTATATGTGTTAAGAAAATACATCAACAAGTGAATTTCAGGAAAAAAAATCAACAGACATTTGTTTATAATCACATTTTTCACTTAAAATCACCTTTTTTCTGTTGTAGACAGACAACTGACCTGCTAGAAGCTCTAAGCCATGTTCTAGCAAAATTAATTAATATTAAAGGTTTTTGATATTAATATAATATCAAAAACCTTTGATATTATATTAATATTGAATTATTTTTTATACATGGTTTTCTTTCTTGACTCCATTGAAAACTGATATTATGTATTGACAGATGTTGAATGCCTGAGGTGGTTAAAAAGAAAAAAATACTATAATGTTAGTTCTTGGTGGTATCGGATGCAGGATTTAATTATAGGGAGGGTTAATTTTTTAAAAAATTATTGTAATCTAAGGAACAATAATGCTTTATAAGGACAACATTTTTATATTTTTACTTGATATGTGCTTACATTTAGTACTTGAAGTGCATGTGTTATAATTTAAGAAGAGAACATATAATATTTTAAATATTTGGCTTTAATCACTTATAGAAAAAAATTGGACAAATGACCAAAATATTAAATTTCTATTTTGGGAAGAGTGGCTTTAGCCTGAAAGCCCTCTCCCCTTGAATCTACTAATGGTTCTAAGTTTTGAGACTGAATAATTAAATCTTTATTAGAACAGCTGCTCAACTCTTTTTCTGCTGTGCTTGAATGAGCCCATTATCACAGTATTGTGAAAATTCAACTCCTCCTTTTTTAAAAATATAAATGAGAATATACCTTATGAAATGTAGAATAGATATCTATCTATAATAGTGCATATCTACTATTTCTGTCAGTATGAAGGAAAGAAAATATATCCAGTCTAAAAGTAGAAAATAAAAGTTTGGTAGTTTTTCTTATGAGAAAGTTAGTAGTCTATAAGAACTTAAGTTTCCTCAACATCATTGGAAATTCACCTATGAGATACAAAGTTGGACAGTGTCCATTTCTCCTAGCATACAAAAGTCTTGGAATGAATAATTTTCATATTTAATACAAGTATCCTTACTGTTGAAAGTCAAACATTTTAGACAGTTATTTTTATTTCCAAAATAATTCTTTTTTTATTTGCAAGCTAGATTTTCATTAAAAAATAAAAAAGGACTGGAAAAATATGGATTAATTTTAACTCTGTGAGCATCTTTCATGAGTTATTGGTTAAAATTAGACTTCATTTTTGGTAACAGACTCTTAGAAGTTAATCTTTAATAGCCCTCTTGTTTTTCAATACCCCTGGAATTATCATATTTATCAAATTCAAGCTTATTTATTATCAGTTTTAGACCCCCACACACAATTTTATATGTGGTATGTTTTTAACTTCACAGATTGTTTGCTTTTTTCTTATTTAATACATTTTTGTTGCAGTTTGATGTGGCTATTGATTATACTATATGAGTTATAGTACATTGTATGTTGTTAAATAATTTTTTAATTAATTTCTTAAGTATTTGGTTTATACCGACCAGTGTCCTGTTTTCCTTGATTCAATCTCCATGGCGAAATTTTACAGTAGCCTTTAGAATATTGTGAGCCTGTTCTGATTTTTAATTGTAGGACTTGGCTTGTATTTTTGAAAATTTTGAAAAAAACTTTCTAATATGTTTTTGAATTTTTCTTATTTATCAATTTTTTTCATACTTTGAATTCCCCTGCTCCTTAAAACTGGTGCTTCGGACCTAGATAGTATCACTCATTTATAAATCAGAGCTCATTTGTGAATCGTTTTGAAATATTTTCTTCTGCCTTCTTTTCTAAATAAGAAATACTAATGTTTGTTGATATATGAAAAAATTGATGGAGTTTTATTGATGTTTTTGTTTGTATATACTTTTGTAGAGTCTCTAAGAGCCTACTTACAGGTGGATCTATGGGGAGAGAGGGAGGGGAGAGCTTTCTGGCTGAAGCCTCCCAAAATGGTAAAATATAACCATTTTTTTATGGAAAAAATTATCTCTTAATGTATTATTGTTTGTGTAATTACATTTAATAGGACTTCAAGAATCATTTAAACTCTTTTTCATATAGATAGTTAGTTCCCTTCTTTTTCTTTCTAAGTAATCATCATTATTTAGTTAAAAAAAAAAACTTTCAGGTTGAATTTTCTCCCAAAACTAAATCCTGGATCTGTTAGTGGTTCTTTCTAAGTTGATCAAATAATCATACTTAATAATCAAATAAGACAACACAACATGTAATTAATTCTTATAGACATTTCTTTACTATAATTTTTTTTAATAATCATGTTTTTGATCCATTTCTTTGAGGTTGTTCTTGGTAGTTCTTTTCCCATCTCTCACAATTTTTCGGATACCAAGGTTGTTCTGGAAGAAATATTTTTAAAAGTACAGAAAGGTTCTGAAATGCTTCACAGTCCTTATATCTATCAACAATATTACAAGTTGTAATTAAGTCAAAAACAAGATGATATGTTGTAATCTAGTTAGTTTCTTTATTTTTTTTCCATAGTAATTATCGTTATGTATATATGAAAAAAAAAAAACCTTTAGGGCTGAAGCTTCCTCCCCCACAAAAAAATTAAATCCTGGATCCACTAGTAAGCCTGTTCATAGAAATAATTTAACCTATAGTTTCCCCTGGCGATAAATCATAGATGATTATTATTACTTTAATTTAAATGGAAATAGAAAAATCATCTTTATTCTGGGATAAAGTCACTTACAATTAACATATAGGCTGGATTGAATTAATTTTAGTGTAAAAACATCTCAGGATCGCCTTTTATCGACCTTATTTTTGTTTATAGCTTATGGTGACTTATTCTGTTATGATGCTTTCCCTTCTGTTCATAGGCCAGGCTGAAGGGTTTGGTTGATAAAATACGAAAACCATTTTTTGAACTTATTTTTTCTTTTAAATCAAAATTGTAAGGTATTGATGGACTTCTTAACTTGATAAATCTATTTCCTTTTGTAATGGGGGCTTAGCGTTGCTAAATATAGACCAAGACAAAGGCCTTGATGATGAGGTAAAAGCTTGGAAGAGCCGACAATGGAAGACGGACAATGCACAAACCGATCCAGAAGGCTAGTCTTAGTTTGATTAATGAATTCCCTTCATTAGATATGATGGCTCGCTTAGTCGCTCCCAATCCATCGATTCTCGTTTTACTTCATCAATTCAAGCATTAGCCTCCGATGTTCGCATAGCACAGTGTTCTTCTCAGATTCTTTTAATAATCTTAGTTATTAAAAGTTAGGGCCTAAAATTAAAAGAGGTTACCGTAGGCACCGACAACGGCGGGGGAGGGAGAGAAGCAAGGCACTTTTCCCCCATCCTTTCTCAGTATTTTTATGAATTATATATAGCCTCTCAATATTTCTCACAATCAGTCATGTATTAAAAAATAAAAAAAAAAGTTCGATGGACAATATTGGTTATAATTATATTATATTATAGGTAAAAAGACTGATATCTCAGCTATTCCTTTATGTATACATAAAGGTTAAGTGATTAAAAGCGCTTTAGCGTTCTACACTCTCCTTCTCCTACCGTGTATTGTACTGATATTATCATATATCTAATACTGTTTTCATTTTACTTTAACCTTGCTCTCCCCTATCCACGAATATTTCTTAAGTGCCAGCATCTATGAAAAATATTTTAAAGAAACTGATTGTCAAGAATGAATCCTGAATTCCACTATATTTTATAATTTCTTTTCGTGATATTGAGACAATTTCAAGTTCAATGTATTATTTTTCACTTAATTAGCATCTTTAAGATAAGGGGTGCATTAGGCCAGGTTTGCCTCCTGATCAACGGCGAGCATCATCATGCCGTCAAACGTCATTTAATTTATTGGGGAATAGCTGTTCTTGGACGTCCTGTTTGTCTCTTGCCACATGGATTATATTCTATCGTTTTGAGATGATTCTATGTCTTTCTATTTTACAGACGTCCACAACATTTCAACTGTTTCGTTTCTGTGATACACCATATCTTGAACTCCGCTCTGATTCGTTAATTTCTTATGTGTTTCTTTCTTATTTTCTCAGCCACAAACAAGCATTTCAATAAGTCATTGAATTATTGAGAAATTGAATGATGCAGTTCGAAAAATAAAAGTAAAAGGTTTTTACACAATTATATTTTACACAACAAAATTATATTTTGCACAGTATGAAATATAAATTTATATGTAAATACATAAGATATATTTTTATAGTAATTAGGTATTACTTACAGTCGTTGATGAAGGCGTACCTCCCCTTGAAGAGCTCTGGTGTGGTGTAGTTCTTGTCGGTATAAAAGCTAAGGGCGAGGGCCCGGTAGAGGGATATTCTCCTTCGGGGAGGGATTGGGCCGCAGAACCGACCTGTAAAGGAGAGCACATCTGTTAAGTATGTGTACATAGTACGTAGTATTTAATATATTGCGTAGTACATAGTAAATTGTGTATTACATAGCATATAGTATATTGATCGTATCGGTTTTATTTAAAGGATTAGTTGTTAAAAGCGCTGTTTGGAATTATTTGGGGTATATGAGCTATCTATAATGGCGTTCTATTTGAAGTATTGCTTTGTTGAGCGTAGTTTGATCGTTCTCGAAAGAGCGCGTTAGCTATACAAAAAAAAAAAAAAACTATTAATTTTTTTAATCCTTATTTTTTTACATACACCTGTCAGAAATACTTTCAACCAGTAAATTTTTTGTCAACTGGTTATGTATTCTAATATGGCAATGTTATGCGTAAGGAACAATAGTGCCCAGCGGCATATCTTCCTATTTTATTTCGCTATTGTTAAGTGATAACATCCTTCAATCAATTTCTTTTCTGGCTTCCACGAGTGTTTTCTGTCATGTTGCTTATGGTCATGCTTGAAATATGATCATATATGGTCTTAAACTATTGATATGTGAATGCTTAAAGTAATATTGCTGACCTATCATGAATCATTGGTTATATTCTTCAATATGTTTGTAGCTTACATAACTAGTTCTTTTTTGTCTCATATATCTATAAAGTATTTAAAATGGGTAAATAAGTTGAAAGTCTTTCTATATTTAAATTTCAATCATCTTGAAAGGAGTGGGGGTAATAGTCGTTGTCGAAGGTATAGTGTTGTTCTTTAGTGTAGGTCCTATGCCATTATTTTGTCAAATATTAGATCAAGATTTATCCGTTTGAGGAATTTTGACGTTTTTGAGATAAATAGGAGGCAGAGTTTCATATAGAAGAGTGAACTATTCAGTAAGTAATATATTCAGATTTGTTCTTGGTGTTTGATTTTTCTATTTACAACCAGTTTTTAAAGATGATATTGATAAGTTTGTGATAATTTTTATTTCTTTAAAATTTGTATTTAGTGGCTTTAGAAATGATTTTTTCTAAGAAGTTAAAGTACGAAATCGTTAGTAAATATAGGCTAAAGAATACTTGATGTTATCAGATTAAGTTTAACTAAATCAATATACATATTTGTAAAGCAGTTAACAATATGTCTCCTAGAAAGATCTTAGTTTAGCAGGACTCTCATTTCGTATAAAACTTACACAGTAAATCATGAACTAATATTTAATTTTCATGTAGATTTTTTTTCATCAGTGAGTGACTCTTGAAAATGTGAGTTTACTGAAATAGGAATTTGTTACTTTTTCACGGATCTCTGTAATTCAGGAAGTTCGTAATTCTTTTCAGTTTTAATCCTTTGCTGACCAAGATGTGGTCGAATGAAGGTGACTGAGAGGCAGATGGTCTGCTGAAACGGAATAGTTTTCTATTATTTCAACACCCTCATTATTAGAGTAAATAAACAAATCTAAACAAATTGATCTTTTATTTTATTTTTTATTTTTATAAACTTCAACGTTTGTTATTACTCTACCACATTATTTACAATCCAGAGATATGTGTTGCTATCTATCCGTCCTTAAATAAAATACACGATTTTAATTGAAGGAAATTAGTCTACTGTTCTATATGATAAATAGACATGACGCAGTCAGTTTTTAAGATTTTTATTGTTGCCAACGTTTCAACGTTGTCAGTAGTTGGTGCTTATATACGGTTAGTACTTAGCTATAGGGCTGCCACCTAATTATACGCGACCTATTGTCTAATTTCCTTAAATAATTATTTTTGATGTAATAACAAAAAAAAATATATAAGTACATAAATAATCATACATATTTGACAAAAATAAACAAGAAAATGTTTTCTGTAAACTTCTAGCTGAAAGCTAGGAGCCAGGCTTTGGATGAATAAATACTTCTCTCTAGTTCCCTATTCATTTCTCTAGGGATCGGCGTTGTTATGACAAGCTGGTAACCTCTTGCTTACTTAAACCTGAGCAGAAACTCAACATTGTCAATCAATATCTGTTCCCGGGTCTTACTTACCCTCTCCAAACTGCGCCCCTAACAAAGCTACGTCCTGCTATACTGGAGGGCATCGACACTATGATTCGCAGGAGCGTAAAGGCCATTATTGGACTGCCTGCGAATACTTCCACAGCGATGTTGTATGCCCCCAGGAGATACCGAGGATTGGGATTAATCCGCTGCCAATGGGAGGCTCCTCTTCAACATTGGTCCATTGCTCAGCGACTGTCCAATGTACCAGATGCCCTTTTTCAGTCTACCTTCGATTATTCGGCTGAAATTGCTGAATGTGCCGAGAGATTGGGGGTTGATCAGGGTCATCGAAATGTGAAAGCTCTACGGCAGTCGCTACGAGAAAATGCATTTGAGGAATGGGCCAACTGCAGGTGGCAGGGTATTGGTGTTCGCCATTTTAAAGAGACCCCGAAAGCGAATAGATACATCTACGAAAAGCAAGTACTTTCTGGGTCTGAATGGTCGAATGCCCTAAAACTAAACATTAATTATGCACCCCTGCGTGGAGTCCCAGGAGTCAGCGGACAGGTCAGAGAAGTTGGGTCCCTCTGCCGTAAATGCGGCAGAGAGTCTGAAACACCAGCACATGTGCTGGGAAAATGCCCCAACAACTCCCTCCTCATAACACGTCGTCACCACCGGGTCAAGTTCGAATTGATGAGGCTCCTTAGGGAAAAAAAATTCACCTGCTTTGACGAGGTATATTGCATCGATAGTGAGGGCTCTACGAGATACGCTGATATCGTCGCATTTCCCAAGACAGGAAGGACAGCGCTGATCTTGGATCCAACTGTCCGCTTTGAGAGCAATGACCTCGATCAGGCGGGTGAAGTGGAAAGGGAAAAGAAGAACACGTACGATAAATGTATCCCTTTCCTAAAAGAGAAATTCCGTGAGACCTTCGGAGAGAGAGAGTTCACCGTGAGAGGCCTCTGGTTTGGGTCTCGCGGAACTATCCCAAAAAGAACAAGGAGCTTCCTCGGGGAACTAGGTGTCGACATTAAGGACGTAGCGAGGTTGGCTGAAAATATAGTCCTCGACTCCCTGGGAATCATTCACCACCACGTGCATGGCTAGCCCGAGAGTTTTAATTTATGTATTTGTTTATTTATTTTTTTAGTGAATAATTGAAAACAATAGCGATAAAGAGAGAGAAGTGAGAGAAAGGGAAACTTAATGTTAAATAAAAAAAAAAAAAAAAAAAAAAAAAAGCATGAACAATGAGAAGAGGGAAAAAGGAAAAAAAAAAAAAAAAAAATTATAAGGATAAATAAAATAATAAAAATGTATATATATATATATTTCTGTTTTACTAATATTAACTAATACTTCTGTATATTTATATATAAGTTCATATATTGTCTTAAGGATAGAAGAGTATGCTGTGTGTATAGCAACCCAATGTAATTGGGCAGCAATCCTTTATATTTTATATTTTATGAAAATAAAGTGTTTCTCTCTCAACTCATGGATAAAAATGAATAAACATATTGTATTTTTTTTTCAATCCTTAAGTTTTCGAACAAACTTCTTTATATTTTCTTTAATTTTGTGATATGGTTTATTTTATAAAATTTAAGATTGGTAGAAATATAACTTTCCTTTTAAATATTATATTTTGATTCAGAAATACTCAAATATATGTGAATCCTTACTTCTCCATTCTTCCTTTCTATTCGTGCTCTTCTACACCAAGGTACAACCGATGAATAACATTAGGGTTGCAACCCTCAACTACACCTTAGGTTAGCTTTTGTTTTTCATCGTTATAAATTAATTATTTGTTATTCATACTATATATAATAGGGTAGTATAGATCCCTTCTCTTTTTCGGTTGTCAGGAGCAATGGATTTTGATGAATTGGGTATCAAACGAAAAGGATTTTGATGAAGAAGTGACGAATCCCAATTTCGAAGCTAGAAAACTTACAAAAGAGCAATAATGAATGCGATTGAAACAAATTTAGAGGGTTCAAAAGCTGGCGGATCGAGACAGGTTAAGGTTATTTTAAAGATTTTTGCGAGCACTTCAACACCCAGTATAATCTCTTTGGAACTATTCCGGGCCCTTTGAAATAAACCGTGATTGACGAAAAAGCCTCTGAGGTGTTATGGTAGCGAAAGGGGCTTATCGCATGTTTCGATAGTACTCTTCAACGAACCAAAAATCTATTAAAAAAGTAAATGGAGGAAAATAACTCCATAATCAGGCACTTCGCATAATACAGAAACTTGTTGATGTTTTTAATAAATAAGCTATGGCTGCTGTACTATCAACAATATATTTATATACTCATATTCTATTTTATATTATAGTAAGTGAGAGAACTTTAAACTAAGGCCCTTAAAGTACCCTTAAGGCACCAAAAGTACAGATCTTGAGAGAGTATTATAGTGGTTTAGTATAATTTCAGGAGTAGCCGTGTCTTATTACTTAACTATTGAATCGTAAACCTATGACCTCATGTCCCACAGTATCCTTTAATAATACCCTACTTATCCCTGTTGAACAAATCCGATACCTTGGACAAACATCTAACTTGAAATCCTCATACCAGACTGAAACGACAAGAAACCGCTCGACGTTTCCGACTACTCCAACACTTACTAGACAAACGCTCTAAGCTTCCAGTTAATTACAAAAGACTTATATCCATGGCTACAATAAGACCTATTTGGACTTACGGAGTTGAGCTTTGGGGCTCCACTAAGCCATCGAATTCCTCTCGTATCCAATTCTTACAATCCAAAATCCTTCGGAACATCCTCAATGCTCCTTACTTTGTCACCAATAAAATAATCCATAATGACCTTAATGTTCCTTATGTTTCCGATTTGGCCCAATCCAGATACCAATCCTTCCATAATAATCTTCAGAACCATCCGAATCCTCTCGTCTCTAACCTTGCTTCCTCTTCTATTCCTGATAACCCTCCGAAGCGTCTGATGGCCTCGAGATCTCTTATTGTAAATAGATTTTGTTTTTAGAGTGCTACCAGCGGGTAGTTTCTCAACAAGTCATTTCATGTTATTATTTTCTGTTATCAAATTTACTTAATGTATTTAATTT